ATATCTTCATACGCTCTCACATCCGCCATTTCATACTTTTACATATTCGCATTTACATTTTGATATCTCTATGTCTACGCAAATTTAAACATTCATTTTTTCAAATAGTCATTCTATGCTCATATATTCATATACAATAGTCACTCTATGCTCATATATTCATATACTTTCATATACGAGCGCTCAGAAATTGTTAAATTTATATATCCTTGAGTAATATATATTTATTAGTCTTATTAAAAAAAGATGTGATATTAGTACAAAATTACCATTTCATTAAAAAATGATGTCAAGTATATCCTATGTTGTCTTCAAAAATTAAGATTAATATATTGTTAAATATACAAATAAGAAAAACTGTTTTAAAATGTAAATTTTTTAAATTTTCTATAAAAAATAATGTATTATTGCGCCAGCTATTAGCATTTTAATTGGTTATGGAAAATTAGTTCTTTATAAAATGTATAAAGATAATAAGGATATCAGAAAAACTATAAAAAGTTATATAATGTGTAAATTTAAAAAAAATTTTACAAGTGACAATTATAATTCTTCTAATTGATTTCGTTTATTAAATCTTGAGGGCATATTTTTATTTGTTCTATACAAAATATATATTTGAGTATTTCTTAATCTATATTTTATATGATTATATCGATGTTCGCAAAAGATTTAAATATACGACGGAAGTTTTTATTACCTGAAATAAGTGTTTGTCTATATATAATATGAAAGGAAATATGTTCCACATGTTACAGATATATAGATATATGAAAATCTCATAAATCAAATATCTAGTTGAATATATGCTTGTTCTTATGATAAGTGAAACAATCTAATTGAACAATCTCATTTTTATAAGATGTAAATAGAACATAATTAATAAACAAGGAAAATGTGATTTTTTTATTAATAAAACGTGAAAAACCACATATATCTGCAATACTTACATTATCAAAAGTTGCGATAGACAAATGAATTAACTTTCCCACGGTGATCTTAATCACGTTACTTGATCAAGCAATAATCAAAACGAGACCAAGAGCAGTTTTATGCAATTTGTCAAATATGCCATTTCTTCCGACAAGTTTATACTATCAGTTATTATAGAATTTTAACTTTTTATGAGTAATTAAAAAGTTGAAATAATTAGAATTAATAAAAGTTAAAAAAAAATGTTAAAAAATCAGAAATATTTACAGTTTTGCAAAAAATGAGATAATTATATTTTAGAATTTTTTGTGTTATATGTAATAATTGAATATTATGTCTTATTTTTTTTTTAAGTATTAATTCAATGAATTTTATAATATATTTTGATTTGTAATATACCTGTTCTGTGACAATCTCCCCAATATAACAATATATAAAGATATTGAAACTCATCGATAAATATACAATAATATATTATTTTTGCTTTATCAAGTGTTTCCCAAACCTAAAAATTAAAGCATAGACTTATTTTTATTTTGTAATTTATTTCAAGTTTCAATATAATTTGTAATGTAATAGCAATGTTTGATCTTTCATAAATAAATTATAGGTTTGTCTAATAAGATCTTTAGTTTCTTATCTCTCTCTTTAGCGTACCATAATGGTATAATATCCAAGCAGGCACAAATTTATCGTACATCCCATCAATTTTCCAAGAGAAATCTTATTCATAATACTTTCTAGACGTGATATAAAACTGAAATGATGTATATAGATGTATAACTATAGTAACGAATTTTCTTTGCAAACGAAACATTCGTATATTATAATAATGCACCTTACGAATAAAATGACGAGAAATTCTTTCTTAATAATTTAAAAAAAGAAAATCAATTATTTTCTTTTAAAGAAAATATTTATCTAAATGATTTTAATTAATAATTATTTCAAAGTACTTCAAATAAGCTAAAAAGTTAATTAATAGAGCTACTTAGAATGTGAATTTTAAAATAATTAAATGTTTACGTTTAGATACCTCATTAGGTGATGCTCGATGATAATAGCCAATTTTTATTCAACTATATAGTTTCCCTTCTCTTGATTCTCAACGAGATCTCGCAGTCATGCGTATAGCACATATTCAATTGACCGCAGGCGTGCATCGCAAAGACAGCAGCTAAGCTGCATGCACCGACGATAGAACAACTCGCTACGATTGTTGATAAGAACTGTAGAACCAAAGCGATTTCGTTCACAGGACTGAATCTTGCGTCGATGATTTTGCTATAAACCGGACATGTCATCGAATGTAAAAATCTCGTTGCCGACGATAATGGTTGCAGTTTTCATCGCTTGGACTATACTGAAAAGAAATGCACCTCCCTGCATGATCACCCGACAAATTATGGTGATGAAACGACCGAACTTGGCGTACTTCAGCATCACCTCGCGATCATTTATGTTTCGTATGATCCCCCAATCTGCTTTCATGTGTTGCATTAATTGACAAATATCGTCGCTGCGCGTAAGCAAGACCCAATAATTTATCGAGCCCGTGACTCTATGAAGCAACGGCCCAATAGCATTTAATTTCAGCTTGATATTGACTTTTTCAAAAAACACGAATAACGAACGAACACGGTATCATTATGCATGCTATCAGGAATGAACAAATAATAATTTGTAGCACAAAAATTTTCCACAATGAACTAGACATGTTTATTTGTAACCCTGCACCGCTTGAAAAACCATCGATTGTAATCTATAATCGTTATTGGCTTGAGAAACCATCAATTGTAAACTATAATCGTTATGCTTTTTTGATACACCGCTTTCTGGTGCAGATTTGAAATTTAACATGTTTACTTCACAAAAGCGCGCAGTGCACTGCCTTAGACAGACAATTCTCAGTATTAGAGTTGATTACAGAGAAGCGCCTGCGCTAACTTTTACAAAAGTTTCGTGTACGGTCTCTAATATTTTAATCATTCGGGAAGGTATGTATATTCAATCGATAAAACTGTTCATCGAAAGTTTCTATTGTCAATTGTTTTCGAAAACATTGCGTGTTATGAGAAGAAGTGTATTCATAGGAGTAGTAGCATATGCTTTAACCAGCTCTTTTTTCTTCAATTTTACATTTAAGCTATGTTTCAATATTTCTTTAGATACTTTGTTTTTTATCAACTCGCAAGAGATTGTGTTCAAATAGGAAATACGAAGACACTTTTGTAGCTGCGCGTGTAAGTTTCAAAAGTTATTAAATTTTGATTATCATTATTTTAGTTTTAGGAAAATCTTCAGGAATACTTTTTGTATTTTTAAAAAAATCTAATAGCAAGAAATTCTTTTTATGATATAATTCTTATCTTAAGAAATTGTTTATTTAACATCTATTTGAAAAACTCCATGTGTGTATCTTATAATGTTCTAATTATCTACATTTTTCATGCAATTATTGTACGTAACATATTTAAATATGCCAAGGAAGTTTTGATTATCTGAAACAAAATTCTTTTGCAATACAAATTTGACCTAATTTTCATGATACAATTTTGATCTATTGTTGATAATAACGTTAATATTTGTTTTAATAGTACATTATATATTAAATGATCAAGCCATTATAAGATTATTATAACAATTTATAAAAGAGGGAATTCTTAACATTTTTATTTAATTATTTATTTAATTATTTATTTATTTTTAATAATTGTGATACATGTGTTACTTACATCGCCGAAGGTTGATATGGATAATTGAAATAACTTTCCTGCAGTTATCTTGACGATGTGACTCGATTGCATGATTATTAAAATGAGACTGAGCGCTGTTTTACGAGGCAATTTATACCAATTGGTCATATATGCTATTTCTCCAACGTTTTTACACTAATAATTAATAATAAATAAATAAATAAATAAAAATATTTATGAATTTCTGTCAAATATGCAAAAACTTTAAAATGATAAAGTGATTAAATGAAAGAATACTTTATATATTTAAATATAATTATTTTATTTCTTTAAAAATATAACAATTAGTTATAAATAATTAAATGTTCAATAATTTGTATACATTTAATGAGATAATGATATATTATATTTCGTAAATAATTAAGTCGAGAAAGTTTTTCAAATATTAATATTTTTTAGGATTTTTTAGGATATTACCTGTTCCGCGAGAACTTCACCGATGTAACAAAATATAAATATATTGAAACTCATCGACACATATGTAATGATATATGATAATATTTTTACTGCATCGAATGCAGCCCAATTCTAGAAAATCAATTGGCAACTTTATTTAAAAAAATGAGATTAATCTGTTTTTGTGGCATCTCAGTTATGTGTTATATTTATAGTATTAATGACAAATTTATATATTTTTATCATACCATGATAGAGTAATATCCAAGTAAACACATATTCAACGTGCATCCCATTAATTCTGCTAGACAGGCTTTATGCATAATACTTTCTATTTGTGCTACAAAACTGAAACATATCTACAATATAATTACAATATTTTTGGGCAGGATGGCATGCCCCCTTTGTAAAATTTATTTTAGACGATCTAAGATTTATACTAGGATATAGAATAGAATGTTATTTATATTTTTATATGCCATGAAATATAAAAAATATACATGAAACACATAAATCATATTAAATTATTTCACGTTTTATAAATTATTTAAATTGATTTAAAAATAAAATAAATTTGAATGCAAATTTTTCTTTCTTATACATATTTATATTATTATCTTTCCTATATTTATATTATATTATAATATAATATATATTATAATATAATATAAATATATATATTATTTATATTATTTTCTTTCTTATATATATTTATATTTGTGATAGTTTAAATTTAAAGAAAACTGTCAGTTCGTCATGCAACAGTGAAAATATTGACTTGTCTCTGATAATAAAAAGCAATTCGCACAAATACACAGCAATCAAAGTTCAATACCTGAGCCAAGTTAAATACCTGAGGATTCTCCAATGATGCTCCACAATAACAGCTAATTTTTGTTCTGCTTCATCAATTTTCTCTTCTTCAGCAAGCTCGCTCAACCACATATACAATACGTTCAGCTGACCACAGGCGTGCATCGCGAAGACGATAGCGAGACTGCAAATAGCCACTGTAGAGGAAGCTACCACAAACGCCGACAACAATTGTATACTCAGCAGGATCTCGTTCGCAGGGCTAAATCTCGCGTCAATGATTTTACTGTACATTGGACACGTCATCGGATACATCTTGAAAGTTTCATTGCCGACAGTGACAGTTACTTTCATCGCTCTGACAGCGGTGAAGGCAAACGTGCAGCCGTGCATGAATATCGCGCATAATCCGGCCATGAAGCGGCCGATCTTCGCATATTGCAGCATCACTTCGCGATTGTCGATTCTCCGAATGAATTCCCAATCCGTCTCCATGTGCCGTATGCAATGATGAATGTCCTTTTTACGCGTGAGTAATATCCAGTAATTTATGGATCCCATGGTTCTGTGAATCAGCGGAACGAGAGTTATTAACTTAATCTCAATGTCTTCTTTCTCGAACCACACGTACAATACGCATGGTATTGTAATAACCGCTACCGCGGTTGAAAATATAAAGATTTGCATCGACACCACGAATTTTTTTATTCTGCTTGACGCGCCTGCCTGCGGCCAAGCACCGAGCGACAGGAGGAACCATCGATTTAATTGTATACTATAGTCATTGCAGTTTTCGAATTCGGTATTTATTAGAATACGTTTCGAATCGCTCATGATCGCTTTGCGGAAGCGACTGATACAATAATCGTTTGAAGCTTCAGCTAGAAATATATTCGAAAACACGCCTGCGCCAACTTGTGGAAAAGTTTGGTGGACCGTTCACTTTAGGGCTTTGCCCTAAGAAGAATACGCGCATGCGTATTCAATCAATAAGCGTTCTTTACACTAAGGCTGTCAGTTTGACAAAGGATAGCGTCCTGTGTGGAACGCAATATTTCTACAAGAGTGATAAGGAATTTCTGATTTCTTATCGTCTTAAGTTACTTTATTTATCAAGAATTTATCAAGTAAAAATTATAAAATGTGATAAATTAGTTTTTAAAATGAAATTTTTAAGGTAATAATTAAAATAAGAGGATAGATAACATTAGGAATGGATGTAACAGTATACATATGTTGCAGAGAAATATTAATTAATTCTATTTTTATATTTTTTGACAATATCTATATTTATATTATATTTTTTAATAATATTTGTTATTTGTTTAAGAAATAAATTTTTATTTATTGTTGTATGTTTGAGATTTAAACAATGATAATATTGTAAATAATAGATATTTTATATTTTATTCATAATTTATTTAATTTATTAAATATAATACAAAGTTATGATGGCAGCTAGAGAATTTGCTAATGTTTTGTATAAAATGATGTAATTATTAACATCTAAGAAGCTGTCATAGTGCGAAGCATATTTAGATATATCATGGAGGTTTTCATCACCTGAAATATTTCGTAAAAATATTAGACTAAAAAAGCAAGACATATATGTATACTCACATCACCGAAAGTTGCGATAGAAAGATGAACTAATTTTCCTGCAGTCAATTTAATCACCGTACTTGAGCGGGAAATAATTAAAATTAGCCCACGAGCCGTTTTATAAGGTAAACGATACCAGTTCGTCATATAAGCTATTTCTCCTACTTGTTTACACTATTACAATTATTTATGAAAAATTTTAAATCACATACATTTAGCTCTTGTTTTAAACTTATATTCTAATAATATTGCAATAATATTATAGATATGATAATTTTAACTTTATGATTTGTATATTTTACCTGTTCCGTGAGTACTTCACCGATATAACAGAATATAAAAATGTTGAAACTCATGGAAATGTATATTATCATATAAGCTATTGACGTCTTTTTCTCAATTACATTCCATCCCTGGAAAAATTTCGAATGACAAGTTATAATACGTAATTATTAATAGGAATATTGTAATTTTAATTAATGATATAAGATGAATGTAGAATTTTTTCTGCGACTAATTATTTTTTATGTGCACGTTTTTCACACTGCAATTAATTTCAAATGAAAGATTTCACAATGCCGATGTGTCTTAATTATATATTCACCTTTTTAACTTTTTAGCATACCGTAATGACGTAATATCCGAGCATACATAAGTTAAATGTACATCCTAATAATTCCACAAAACATATTTGATTCAAAAGTGCCTCCATACGCGCCACAAAACTGTAAATAGCTCAAATTATATATTGTTACGCATATTATTTTTGAAGCTTAATTTGCAAAACTTCATTAATTCATAAAAAAGAAATTAGGAGAAGGAAAGAAAGAGACAACAGGACAAATTATTGAACCAGCATGGGAAACGGAAAATCATAATATAAAAATTTTTATTTTCGATATATCAAGAAAGAGTATCAACCGAGATATTTTACATTTATTTACCTTAAAACTCTTAGATGATGCTCTACGATAATCGCCAATCGACGTTGTACCGTCTCTTCCTGTCTCCGGTCGTCCAGCTGATCTAGCCATCTCATCAGCACATTCAACTGACCGCACGCGTGCATCGCAAACACCGCCGCGAGACTGCAGGCGCCGACCGTGACGGAATTGACGACGATGCTCGAGATGAGCTGCAGCGTTAACGCGATCTCACCCGCTGGACTCTGCGTGGTGTCCATGAATTTGCTGTACGAGGGACACGGTAACACGTGCACCGACACGCTCACGTTGTCGATAATTTCAAACGTCGGTGTCGTGCCTTGCAGCACGCTGTGCGAGAATACGCCGCCATGCATGAAAATTGCACAGAGCCCGGCGACGAAACGGCCAACCTTGGCGTACCTCAACATCACTTGCCGATCTTCGATTTTGGTCACCGTTCGCCAGTCGGCTCTCATGTGCTGCACGCAACGGCGTATGTCACGGCTGCGAAATAATAGAGAAAAATAATTCATGCCACCCATGCACCAGTGGCTCAATGGACCCACAGCTCTCAGCTTCTTGTGCACATCGGTCTCCTCGAACAGAATGTTTAGGATGCACGGCACAACAGTATAAGCAATCAGAGAGTAGCAGATGATTATCAGTATCGTCGAAATCACCTTCTCTTTGATCGTTGTTGTAGATGAACTTGGCCAAGCGCCTACAGGTTTCAGGAACCAACGATTCAATTGAATGCTATAATCGCTCGCGTCCTTATCCGACTTGACAGGTTCCATGATCATTCACAGAAAACGCGGATGCTACTGACTTGACTACTAGACGCGCGTGCAATTGACAGGAAGTGGCGCCTGCGCCAGCGAGTAGACTATGCTACTTGATAGATAATAATAGGATATTTGTGCGTCTCGCGAGTCGATCGATACTCATCGAGTACGCTGCACTGTTTGAAAGGGTATGGGTTGTCGTGCAAAGGAATTGACTATGAAATGCATGCATTCGCAAAAGTATCAATTTATTGCTTCTCAAAACATATGAGAAATTGTGATTCTTTTGTATTTGATAGACATGTAAATTTTACTTGGTGCCATTTTTGTTTTTCGGAAATATTTATAAATTACGAAGAAAATATTTTCTCTTTTGAAATAATGACCATAAAGAAGGCAAGTACTTTTAAAATCTCTTTTCTTTTGTAAGAGACATTAATCTTAATGTTAAGAAAAATTTTTTATTGGATAAAATGCAACATTGTTGTGTGTTTTTAAATAGTATTGTATCGAATATATACGTATTTACAATTATTATTTTATTTATTAAATATATTTTCTATATTTTTATTATGTCACATCTGTTCTATACAAAATATATTCATGACACACGTTTATCAATTTAACGTAGCTCACGTGGCAGGAGTCATCGTTCTTAATATATTTAAATATACCATAGAAGTCTTAATTACCTGAAACAACAAGGTCTTCCTTCCTATTTACAACATAGTTAATCATATTTTGAAAATTTGCGAGCACTAAAATATCTGAATGTGTAAATCACTTAAAAAAATCATGAATAAAGAGAAACGTGGAGAAACGCTTTATAATAATTTAAAAATATAACATAAAGAAATGTATTAAATTTTTATTAATACAATGTCATTACGAATAAGATATACATGTTTTTTACTTACATCACCAAAAGTTGCGACAGACAATTGAAATAATTTACCAGCAGTAATTTTGATAACATTACTCGATCGCGCTATTATCAAAATGAGACCAAGAGCAGTTTTGTGCGGTAAATCGTACCAATTAATCATATATGCCTTTTCACCAACATTTTTGCACTAATAAATAAATATGTTTATAAATTAATATAAATATTCTAAAGCGTAAATAAATTAATATAAATTTTCTATAAGGATTTCTCTGATATCTTTAAAAATGTAGGAAAAATATTAAGAAATATTACGGTAGCTATACAAAGCTTTATAAATTTATATTATATTGCAAATAATTCAAATATTGGTTATATGTATAACTAGCAATATTTTTGAATATGATACGGATACTTTTAAATATTTATCGCAGTTTCGAGAAATTACCTGTTCCGTGAGAATCTCACCGATGTAACAAAATATAAAAATATTGAAAGCCATAGATATGTATACGATAATGTAAGATGTTATTTTTGCTGCATCAAAATCACTCCAATTCTGGAAAATCGAAGATTACATTTAATATTTTACAAATAAAAAAATTGCAAAGCGTCTCTATTAATAATATATTCACCTTTTCAGGTCTTTAGCATACCGTAATAGAATAATACGCAAGTAAACACATATTCATCGTGCATCCCACCAATTCCACAAGACAGATGTTTTGCATGATATTCTCCATGCGCGATATAAAACTGAAAGACATACATAGAGACCTGCATTTTTTTTACATTCAACACAGAACATTTGTTCACATTTGTTGAATATCTAAATACATATTTCATAGAAAAATTAGAAATACAAAATTAAAAATATAGTTTTGCCGATAACATAAATGTTTAACACGTGTCTCTTTAAATAAAATAAAAATAATGTCTTACAATAAGAACGTAACGTAATCGTCTCTTAAATAAAATACCTCAGCACCCTTAAATGATGCTCCACGATAGTGGCCAGCTTCTGTTCAGCAAAATCGTTTCCCTTATCGTCTTCCGCGACAAGATTATTCAACCATGAGAACAACATGCTCAGCTGACCGCAAGCGTGCATCGCGAAAACCGCCGCGAGGCTGCAGGCGCCCACCGTGATTGAATTCACTATAAAACACGACAGCAACTCCACGGCTAACATGATCTCGTTCACGGGGCTGAATCTTGTATCGATGAATTTGCTGTATATCGGACAAGTCATTGGGTGCATCAACATGGTCTCGTTTCCGACAACGATGGGCACAGATGTCATCGCCTTGGCTATGGTGAAGAGGAACGTCCCGCTCTGCATAAATACCGCGCAAAATCCGGCGACGAAACGGCCGATCTTCGCGTATCGCAGCATCACGTTCTGATCGTCGGTTCTGTAAATCAATCTCCAGTCCGTCTCCATGTGCTGCACGCATTTGCGGATGTCGTCGCTGCGCGCAAGGAGCAGCCAATAATTAATCGTACCCATGATCCAGTGGCTCAATGGACCCATCACGCTCAACTTCATCTGGACGTCTTTCTCTTCCAACGACACGTACAACAAGCATGGCACCATGACGATCGCTATGAGGAACAAGCAAGCGAGAACGTGGGCTTGCAGGGAGACTTTCTCCACCGTCGTCGACGTGCTCGCTCGTGGCCATGCTGCGATCGGCATTAGAAACCAACGTGTAAGCTGAAGACTGTAATCGTTATTACTTTGATATGTGAATTTCATACTCGTCGGTATACGCTCAGAGTACGTCATGATTGCTTCGCGGAGGCGCAAAGTGCACTGACTGCGGCGAACGATGCACCGACTAGAGTTGTGTTCGAACGAGCGCGTGCGCAAATCTTTAGAGTAACGAAGGGTAATGTGTGCTTCCTGACAGAAACGCATCTGATCGATAATTGCTACTCATGGAAACATAGCGTTGACCGTTTGGGCGGAAAGAATATATGGAAATCATATAAAGAATGGTGGGAGATCGTTTCTGTTGTTTTTTTTTGTCAGTATCGGGAAATATATAAATTGCAATTTGGTGCCTGTGTATAAGATACATTGGAGAAGAGCACAAAGTCGTCATTTAATCAGGTATTCTAATAGCCATAGAATCGATATATTTAATTCTATTTATAATAGATATTAATATTTTTGGGCTAAAACTGTCTTGAATAACATGCGATTAAATTACTATACGTTTAAATAGAGTAATTATAAAAATTGTTCTGTATTTAATATATTTTATTTATTAATTCATTTATTATTATTTTACTATTATTTACTACTAGTTTTATATAAAATATAAATAATCTTACAGTTTTTCTAATTTAATATATTTCAGAGGGTCACGTCATCGTTCGTAACATATTCAAATATACCATAGAAGTTTTAATTACCTGAAACAGCAATGTCTTCCTTCCTATTTACGATACAAGTTAAAAATCTCGAAAATTTCAAACTTAGTTTAAAATAATATCTGAACTTAAATGGAAAAATACAGATGGCATAGGAAACTTAATAATTATTCTTAATGAATAATTATAAAGTAAATAGAATATATCAAATTTTTATTAATGCAACTTTCATTATAAATGCATCATATATTTTACTTACATCGCCAAAAGTTGCAATAGACAACTGAAATAATTTTCCAGCAGTCATCTTGATAACGTTACTCGATCGTGCTATCACCAAAATGAGTCCAAGAGCAGTTTTTGTGCGGCAATTCATACCAATTAATCATATAAGCTCTTTCACCAACGTTTTTGCACTAATAAATTTAAACTTAATTTTTTTACTGATGTTTAGAAGTAGTGTAGCAAGTATTGAAAGAAACATTACAAGATGTGAAAGTAAAATATTAATAGTTTCTTGAATATAATTTCAATTTGTCAACTTGGCTTTGATTTACCTGTTCTGTGAGGATCTCACCGATATAACAAAATATAAAAATATTGAAAGCCATAGACAGATATATAATCACATATGACATTGTTTTTGCCCCATCAAACGAATCTATATTCTGTAAAAATTAAAAATTTTTGGTTAGAGTACAACGAGAAATTTGTCTTTTTTGTCCGATCTATTCATAATGTTGAAAGATAGATTTGATATTTTATAAATAACAAAATTACAAAAGTTATATATCACATATTCACCTTTCACATCTTTAGCGTACCGTAATAAAATAATATGCAAGTAAACACATATTCATTGTGCATCCTAATAATTCCACGAGACAAATTTGTTGCATAACAGTTTCCATACGTGATATAAAACTGAAATGCACGTATATAATTGTAATATATGTGGTATTATTTGTCCATGTTCATAGAAAGAAAAATGAGCAATTTACATCCCTTGGATATAAATTGTTAAATATAGATATATTTTATTTACGCAAATATTGTCCGAATACGATAAAAATGCAATTTTTGATATTTAAACGAAATACCTTAGCACTCTCAAGTGATGCTCCACGATAACAGCGAGTTTCTGTTCGGCGCGTTCATTTCGTTTATCTTCATCCACCACGAGTTCGTTTAACCACGAGAACAACATATTCAACTGACCGTATGCGTGCATCGCAAAGACCGCATCGAGGCTGCAAGCGCCCACCGTAACAGAATTTACTATAAAACACGATATCCACTCTATAAGCACCATGATCTCGTTCGCGGGACTGAATCTTACATCGATGAATTTGGTGTACATCGGGCAGGTCATTGGGTGCATCGAGACGGTTTCGTTGCCGACGATGACAATGGTAGTTGACAGCGATTTCGCTACGGCGAAGAGAAACGTGCCGCTTTGCATGAACACGGCGCAGAATCCGGCGACGAAACGACCAATTTTAGCCTGTCGCAGCATTATCTGTCGATCCTCGATCTTTTGGACGAGCCGCCAATCCGCCTCTATATGCAGCACGCATTCGCGAATGTCGTTGCCGCGTGCGAGTAGCAGGCAGTAATTGATCATGCCCATGACCCAGTGACTCAACGGACCCATGACAGTCAATTTGATCCCCATATCTTTTTCTTCCAGAGAGACGTGTAACAGACATGGTACCATGATAATTGCTATCAGGGATGTGCAAATGAGAATGTGTATGTACGAGGAGAGTCTCTCAGCTCTCGTCGCCGTACTCATTCTTGGCCAAATACCAATCGGCATCAAAAACCAACGAGTCAATTGAAGACTGTAATTGCTATCGTTTTTGTACATCTCGATGCTCCTTGGCACACGCTCGGAGTACGTCATGATTGTTTCGCGGAGGCGCACAATGCACTGACTCCGGCGAACGTTGCACCGGTTAGAGATATGTTCGAAGGAGCGCGTGCGCAAATCTTTAGAGTGACGAAGGGTAATGCTTCCTGACAGAAACGCATCTGATCGATAATTGCTACTCACGGAAGCATAACGTTGACCGTTTGGGCAGATGAAATGCATGGAAATTGTGTAGAGAATGGTGTGAGATTGTTTCTGTCGATTTTTTTTATCAGTATTTGGAAATATGTGAATTGTAATATAGTGTCTGTGTGTATTATTGGAGTGTGATTTATTGGAGAGAAACATAAAGTTCTTATTTATTTCTTATTTAATCAGAAATTTTTATATTCATGAATCGGTATATTTAATTCTATTTATAATTAATCTTTTCTATTTGGGGAAAACTATCTTGATGTGCAAATTCATTGGATGTTTAAGTTGTGTAATTATAAAAATGATTTTGTGCGTTTGATATAATTTATTTTATTTATTAAATAATATTACTATTATTTACTACAAGCTTTCTACAAAATATAATTTTTACGCTTTCTAATTTATTAATATAATTATTAATATAGTTCAAAGAATCATGTCATTGTTCGCAACATATTTAAATATACCATGGAAGTTTTAATTACCTGAAACAGCAAAGTTTTTCCTGCTATTTACAAGTAAAAAATTTCGAAAATTCTAAGATCGATATAAAATATTATATAAATTTACATGGAAAAATATAAATGACATAAGAATAATAATTATTAAAAGATAATCTCAAGATAAACAGAACATATCAAATTTGTATTACTGTAATTTTCGTTGTAAATGCAATATATGTTACTTACACATATATGTTACTTACATCGCCAAAAGTTGCGATAGATAACTGAAATAATTTTCCTGCAGTTATTTTGATAACATTACTTGATCGTGCTATCATTAAAACGAGTCCAAGAGCAGTTTTGTTCGGTAATTCATACCACTTGATCATATAAGCTCTTTCACCAACATTTTTGCACTAATAAATTTAAACTTAATTTTTTTACTGATGTCCAGAAACATTAAAGAAATATTATAAGATACTAAAGTTAAATATTAATATTTTCTATAATATAATTTCAACTTGTCAAGTATTTTTAATTTAATTTCGAATTATTACCTGTTCTGTGAGAATCTCTCCGATGAAACAAAATATAAAAATATTGAAAGCCATAGACAGATATATAATCACATATGACAGTGTCTTTGCTCTATCAAATGAATCTATATTCTGCAAAGCAAACATTAAAAACTTTCTATTAGAGTATAATGAAAAATTGATCTTTTTTCAATATTCATTATATTAAAAGATAATGACAGTTTATAAATTACAATTAAATTTAGAATACGATTGTATGTCACATATTCACTTTAGCATACCGTAATAAAATAATATGCAAGTAAGCACATATTCATCGTGCATCCCAGTAATTCCACGAGACAAATTTGTTGCATAACAGTTTCCAAACGCGATATAAAACTGAAACGCATGTATGTAATTATAATATATATATATACTATTACCTTTTTATATTCATAAAAGAAGAAATAGCATATATCTCTTAAATATATTTATACTTTTAAATATAATTATATTTTATTTACAGAAACATTGTTTTAACATGATAAAATACAATTCTTGATATTTAAATGAAATACCTCAGCACTCTCAAGTGATGTTTCACGATAACAGCCAACTTTTGTTCAGCGTATTCATTTCCTTTATCTCCGTCCACGACGAGTTCGTTTAACCACGAAAATAATATGTCCAGTTGTCCGTATGCGTGCATCGCGAAAACTGCGTCGAGGCTGCAAGCACACACCGTAACAGAATTCACTATAAAACCCGAAAACAACTCTATAAGCACCATGATTTCATTCGCGGGGCTGTATCTTGTATCGATAAACTTGGTGTAAAGTGGGCAAGTCATTGGGTGTATCGAAAGAGTTTCATTGTCGACGATGATGGTGGTGGTTGGTTTAGCTACATTAAAGAGTAACGTGCCGCCCTGCATGAACACTGCACAGAATCCGGCAATGAAGCGACCGATCTTAGCCTGTCGCAGCATTATCTGTCGATCTTCGATCTTTCGAACGAGCCGCCAATCCGTTTCCATATGCAGCACGCACTCGCGAATGTCATCACTGCGTGCGAGGAGCAAATAGTAATTAATCATGCCCATGGTCCAGTGGCTCAGTGGACCTATGATATTCAATTTGTTTTCCATATCTTTTTCCTCTAGAGAGAGGTGTAAGAAACATGGTATCACGATGATTGCTATCACGAATGTGCATACGAGAATGTGTATGTGCGAGAAAAATTTGTCAATTTTCGTCGTCACGTGTACTCGCTGCCAAACACCAATCGGCATCAGAAACCAACGAGTCAGTTGAAGACTGTAATCGTTATCGCTTTTGTATGACAATTCGGTGCTCCTTGGCACACGCTTGGAGTACGTCATGATTACTTTGTGGAGATGCACAATGCACTGACTGTAGCGTAACTTTATATTGACTGGGATTACGTTCGAATGAGCGCGTGCGCAAAACTTAAAACTTTGGTGAACGCATAGAGGCTACACTTCATGAGAGAGACGCGTGCACGTCTAATCGATAACTAGTACTCGCGAAAATGCGGCAGCGTTTTTTTTTTTTCGAGAAGATCGTCTTGTTTCGGATTAAAATATTCAGATGATTGAAGTATATTACGTTACAATCATGAAACAAATTATAGAAAATGGCTTTCAAAAGAATGCAAAATGTTGTAAAAATTATTTTAACTTATTTGTAATTGAATTTGCATTTTAGAGGAATTATTATGACCATGATATAATATTATAATCATATTAATTCTCTACATATACTTTACTCATCAAAGTTATATAAATATAATATTTTTTAATTTATAAATATTATTATCTGCTTTTATTTAAATATCGTTAGTGCCTTTATTTTAAAAATATTATAAGTAAATAAGTATCGATAATATTATTTATCATGTGCATTATGTTGTGACAGTTCGTAACATATTCAGATAAACGAAAGACGTTTTGATAACCTGAAATAATCTATTAAAAACGTTTATAAAAAAAAAATTGGTAAGTACTCATATCACTAAAAGTTCCAATAGAAAATTGAATCAACTTTTCAGCAGTTATTTTGATTATAGCACTTGATCTTGATATAATTAAAATCAAACCAAGAGTCTTATGAGGTACGATAATCAGTCATATATGCTATTTCACCGACTCTTTTACATTAGTAAATGTATAAATATATAAATATATAAATTTACTTGTTAATTTTATATTATGCGACATTGACACTTTTTTTACCTGTTGCGTTAAAATTTCGCCTATGTAACAAAATATGAAAATATTGAAACTCATAGATATATATACAATACTGTATGCCGCTTTTTGCACCCGTTCTATTCCGGATCTGAAAGAATCATAGTATATGAAGAATAAGTTTCGTTAGATATGAATTTTGCAAATATTATTAAAATTTTGTTGAATTATTTTCAACTACATATTCACCTTTTCTAACCAAGCAAAAATATCCAAGCATACATAAATTAAACGTACATCCAACTAATTCTACCAGACATATTTGATGCATAATGTTTTCAATACACGCAATAAAATTAAAATGAAAACGCAATCAGCAAAGTCTTTGATGTATAATATTTATAAAAAACTTCTTTTGAGATATTTATGATATAGTATGTACCACACGATAAAATCTAAGCAAAGTTTATAATTAAAAATCATACTACATATATGAAGTTTTATTATAGGAAAAAATACTATTTTTCTTTAAAATGAAAAAAATATAAGTAAGATACAAAATTAAGATTTATCCTTTTATAAAATGCTATATAAATTTATTTAAGTGTGAATAGACAAGTTAATTATAAGATAATTACAAACCCACGATATATTTAAATTTTGTATAAAATTAGATTTAAATTATATATTTGTATATTTCTTTAAATTAAATTTGAATTATAATTTGTTACCTAATATTTAAATTTAGTGCTACCTTAAAACACATAAATGATGATCTACGATATCAGCCAATCTTTGCTGGGCCGATTCATTCTCTTTCGTACGTTCACCTTCGACGAGACTATCTAGACGTGAAATCAAAATATCAAGCTGGTCACACGCGTGCATAGCGAAAACTGCAGCCAAGCTGCAAGCGCCGACAGTAGTGGAATTCTATAAAACACGAAATGAACTGCATCACAAGAACGATTTCGTTCGCAGGGCTGAATCTGGCGTCTATGAATTTGCTATACGAAGGACAGCTGGATCATCGAGACGCTTTGATTATAATCAATGGACATTATCACTATCGTTCCGGACACTATAAGAGAGCACATCGCCGTGCATGAACATCGCGCAAAAGTCCGCCATGAATCTGCCCAGTTTCGCATTTCTCGCCATGATCTCGCGATCTTGCGGTCGCCTGATGATCTGCCAATCCATCTCCATGTGCTACATACATCGCTGTATTTCAGCAGCAGAGAAGTATAATTTGTTCCGCCCATGAGCCAGTGGCTCATCGGACCGATCGCTCTCAATTGTAAATCGATTGTTGGTCTCCTCAAAAAAAATATTCAGCGCGCACGGTGAAGGCTATGAGGAAATAACACACGAATATCAGAGCATAGGACATGATCTTTTCGCTACTCGAAGTTGCAGAAGATCGCGGCTATGCGCTTAACAACTTTAGAAACCACCGATTCAACTGCTATGATGAACACGCTATGATTGTAGAGATTGTATCTTCAGTTATTGAGGGATACATGGTGATTACACGACGATACGACAATTATTAATCGAATAGCAGAGGCAGCCTTTCTGGTTACTGTAGCGTCTGCGTGTGAAGAAAATTCACTATGAAGGATCTGATCGATCAATCGATATCATCGGAGTGCTTTGCTTAGTGTTTTGCTAACGTTATTACGAATGACTGTGTACTATGTGAATGAATGAATTGAGTAAAGTGATTTATAATAGTCGTTTATCATACACGAGGCATTTTTATCAAAAAGTCATAGGAAAAAACAGCTAAAAAGATTTTTACGGTAAATATACAACTTGTTGCATTATCTGTTCATCATTACTTTTCATATCTCTGATGCGCGCATTACAAGAAAAGCCATAAAGAAAGAAAAGATGAAATAATAATCTTAATTTTTTATGAATTTTAAAATATGTATATTAATTTAGTGTTGTTTATGAATTTATACGTCATACATATTTTTTATGTATCTTAATATTTTATACATTATAATAATTTTGATTTTTCAAGGTTTTATTAGTATTGATAATGATGAAAAATGGTGTTCTTGAAAGTTTTAGAATTGTTTCTTATTGCATGTGAAATGACTGATATTATATTTCAAGTAGTATGTTATAATATGAAGTATGTTCCAATATGCTAATGATTTCATCACCTAGAATAAAAAACATTGAGTTAAATAAAAATTAAATTTATGAAATTTATTTTAATTAAAAATTTTTTTTTAATTCTTTTTAAAAGCGAAAGATTCATGATACACATACTATATAGAAATGTAAATAACAAAATAACAAATTAATAAAAAATATACTTTATTTTTAGAACAAATATTTAAAATTTATACTTAAATTCCAAATAATCTTAATGAGACGAATCAATTTTCCAACTATAATTTTAATCATAGCGAAAGATTTTGTTATTAATTTACTCATGACTTATTTAGTAAAATAAGTTATTTGATCAATCTTTTCATATTTCATACAGTACTTTATATACTTTATATAGTTAATTTTATGAATATAATGAAAATATTTTTGTATAAATAAAATGATTAATATTTTAGAAATTTTTCTTATGTTTTGAAACAAGTAATTTTGTGTTTTTTGCACGCGTTACCTATTCCGTGATTATATCGTCGAAATATAGCATTATTAAAAATATAAATATATAGACAAAATATACCATGTAGTTATAGTCTTCATATATTCTTAAAATTGCAAAACGTAATGTTATAAAAAGAAAAAGAAGAATTTTTAGAATTGAAATATGATATTAAAAAATATGTACATATATGTTTTAAAAAGAAAGATATTAGAATTAATCATATTTGTATCTTATCTTAATAAAATAAAGTCCAAGCAAGTATATATACCCTATTATTTATTATTGAAAAATGAAATACGGAAAATTATATTTTGAAAAGCATGCAAAATTTAAAAATTATTAAATGTAATATATTAAATGTAATATTATTAACGTATAATTATCTAAGTGCTTTTATTTTAAAAATGCTATACAAGTAAACAAATATCGAGAATTTCTTATATTACATTCACAGATTTATGTTGTAACAGTTCGTAACATATTGAGGTAGACAAGAGACGTTTTAATAACCTGAAATGATAGTAATTTATTAAAAGTGCTTTCAAAAAGATATTTGTTGTACTCACGTCACTAAAAGTTGCGATAGAAAGTTGAATTAATTTTCCTGCGGTTATTTTAATTACAACACTCGATCTTGATATAACCAGAATCAAACCAAGTGCTGTTTTATGAGGTAAGCGATACCAATCCGTCATATATGCTATTTCGCCGACTTTTTTACACTAATAAATATTGCATTGTTAAATATGCAAACTTGTTATTCTTATGCTAGCCAACATTAGCATCTTCTTTACCTGTTGCGTTAATATTTCACCTATATAGCAGAATATAAAAATATTAAAACTCATGGATATGTAAACGACAATGTATGCCGCGATGCTCTTCCTATCTATCTTATTCCACCACTGAAAAAATTATAACAGCATATATGAAAGGTGAACATCATAAATGTTTCAGATAATATTAATAATTCTCTAATTAAATTAATTCCAACTACATATTCACCTTTTAAGATGATTAGCGTACCGTAATGGAGTAATATCCAAGCATACATAAATTAAATGTACATCCCACTAATTCTACCAGACATACTTGATGCATTACGTCTTCGATACGTGCTATAAATCTAAAATTAAATTAAATTCAACTAATCTTTGATAAATTTTGAAAAAAATTGTTTTGATATATTTACAGGTTGATATATATCGTATTATACAACGAAATGTCTGAGTAGAAAATTTATAATTGAAAATTATTATTAATTAATAAAGGAATTTAAATTTATATTAAATTGCATATTCGACTTTCTAGTTAAAAAAATATACATTTATATATTTTCTATATAAATGTATATAAATTATGTGCATTTTAAATATATATACATTTTAAAATTAGTTTTAAATTTCATTATTTAATCCTTAGTGTCTTTAAATTAAAGTAAACTTTAGTACCTTAAAACACGCAGATGATGATCCACGATTTCGGCCAGTCTCTTTTGAGCCGATTCACCTCTTTTCTTTCCATCACCTTCGACGAGTCTGTACAGACGTAAGATCAAAATATCGAGCTGGCCACACGCATGCATAGCGAAAACTGCAGCCAAACTGCAAGCACCGACGGTAGTGGAATTCACTATAAAACCCGAAATGAGCTGCATCACAAGGACGATCTCGTTCGCCGGGCTGAATCTGGCGTCTACAAATTTGCTGTACGAAGGACAGGGTAGCTGTAGCATTTCTACGCTCCGATTTTCGTCAATCGGCATCATTACCGTCGTCATTCCCGACACGATGCTGTAAGCGAACACACCGCCGTGCATGCATATCGCGCAGAAACCCGCCACGAATCGACCCAGCTTCGCATTTCTTGCCATGATCTCACGATCCTCCGATCGCCTGATGATCTGCCAATCCATCCTCATGTGCCGCACGCATCGCCGTATGTCAGCGCTGCGCAGCAATAGAGAGCAATAATTTATACCACCCATAAGCCAGTGACTCAGCGGACCGATCGCTCTGAGTTTCAGTTCGATATTTTTCTCTTCAAAAAGAACGTTCAACGCGCATGGTATCACGGTGAAGGCTATCAAGGAAAAGCAAGTGACTATCAGAGCGCGAGACATCGCTTTCTCGTGGCCCGTCGAACTGGAGAATCGCGGCCACGCGCCTATTGGCTTTAGGAACCATCGATTTAATTGCACGCTGTGATCATGGAGATCTTCAGTCACCGACCGACACATGGTGACCATACGACGGCACGACGACTACTAATCGACTATTAGACTCACGGTCTTTCTAGTCTCTGTGGCGTCTGCGCGAGGGAAAAATGTTAGTCTACCGCGGTGGAGATTTATCGATTAACCGGTGTCATCGGACTCGTTGCTTCGATAACATTGTTGTTAATATGTGCATATGCGCTGAGTTGATAAATTGATGATCAAACTGAATCTACTTGAATCGTTTGTCATATATATGGAACATACGAGGCGTTTTTTTTATTGAAAAATTACAAAAGACATATTGCAATGGAGAGACGGAATTTTATGTTGATATGTAAATCAGTGCAATTTGTTGCATTGTTTATTTTTATATTTTCAATTATATTGAAAAGAAAACTGTAAATATGAAAAAAGGACTAAAGTACTAGTTTTGATATATATTTGTGAATTTTCAAATGCATATAGCGAGTGAGTATATCTATGTATTTATATGTCGCATGTGTTATATATTTTAATTCTTTGTACATGATAATTTGGATTTTTGTAAGGATTGTATTATTAATAAGGAAGGTGGCATTAAATTGAAAGCTTTATGATTCTTATTGCATGCGAGTTAAATGACGTCTATCTTTTATATAGTAGTATATTACATGGTTATAGTACGAAGTATATTCAGATATGCCGCAGATGTTTTAATTACCTAGAATAAAGAAACAATAGATTAAGAAATAAAATGAATTCTATAAAAAGATCTTTTTATATGATTGTTTTGGAAACTTTATATTATTTGATAAATTAAAAGATTCATGTATGTGAAATGCAAAAATGCAATGCACGACAAAAACGACAAAAAATTTATTTTCTAATGAAAATGTTTAACATTTATGCTTACATCACCAAATGTCATTAAAGAAAGGTGAATCAATTTTCCAGCAGTAATTTTAATCACAGCACTGGATCTTGATATTATTAGCACCATACCAAGGGCAGTTTTATGAGGTAAACGATACCAGTTAGTAAAATAAGCCATTTCTCCAACTTTTTTACACTGCAGTTAATTTTATAAAAATAACGAGAATCAGTAATATTTAAAAAATTTTTATTATCCCGAAAAATAAATAATTTTGTGGTTTGTTTACACGTGTTACCTGTTCCGTGATTATTTCACCGATGTAACAAAATATAAAGATATTAAAAGATACGGATATGAATACTATACTGTATGTTGCTATAGTCTTCGTGTTTCCCGCATTCCATTCCTAAAATCGTAAAACGGAATATGTATATGTTACATATGGAAAAAATATTTTTGAGAAATAAACATATTATACGTCAGAAAATACATCTCTCTCTGTATTTTAGCAAAAAAGAACACATTAAAATTATTGTCATACCTTGATGGAACAGAAGCCAAGTAAGCACAAATTCAAGGTGCATCCAACTACTTCCACTAGGCATATCTGATTCATGATATTCTCGACGCGTGATAGGAAACTAGAAAATACTTTAAATTATCTCAAATTTCCAATTTTGTTTATATTTGGTATATTTGATATACGCTACAATTCTTGCAAAAATTCTTCACAAATTCGATCAGCGATACCTTACTTTAACACACGTAGGTGATGCTCGACTATGTTAGCTAGTTTGTACTCGGCATATTGTTCCTTCTTTTCTTCATCGACCAATTCATTCAGCCACATGTAGAGCACGGCGAATTGTCCGCACGCGTGCATCGCGAAGACCGCGGCGAGACTGCATGCACCGACCGTGACGGAATTAACTATAAAACCGGATAAAAATTGCAGCGCCAGCACGATCTCATTTGCCGGAGTGCGACTGGTATCCAGTAACTTGCTGTAGAACGGGCAAGGCAGCTTTCGCGCCGAGATGGTTTCGTTGCCGATCACGGTGACGATCGGCGTCAAACTGTTTACCGCACTGTACGAGAACACACCGCAATGCATGAAAACGGCGCAGAAGCCAGCCACAGATCGGCCGAATTTGGCGTATTTGATCATCGCCTCGCAATCCTCGCTTCTGCTCACCGCGTACCAGTCGTTCTCCATGTGCTTGATGCAGCAACGTATATCTTTGCCGCGCCACAGCAGAGAAGTGTAATTTATCGCGCTCATGATCCAGTGGCTTACGGGACCCACTAAATCGAGCTTGGTATCGAGATCCTGCTCTTCGAGATAGAAGTACAACAGAGAAGGTACGACTACGAAAGCTATAAGAATGTAGCACGTTATTTGAATGATTCTCGGCAGGAGTCTCTTGGCAATAGTAGTGGCGTACGATTCTGGCCAGGCACCGATTGGTTTTAGAAACCAACGATTCAGCTGGAGACTGTAACTGTGGTACTCGTTATAACAATGTGAAAACGACGGCTTGTCGAAGTCAGATGTGATCGTCATGGTCGTTCTTTAAAAGCGCGCAAGATACTGAAGGCTCTTCAGTCGCCCCGTTTTTCAGTGAATATCATACTCCAGACATAATGTAGCAATTGCGCAGGCTTCATTGGAAGCGCGGTTTGCATGCAAGAGGCGGGACATTACTAATCGATAATCGCTACTTGTTGCACCGTGCAGTTGCAAGTACAAACACAGACAACATATGAAGTATGACGCATACAGTATATTTTGTGTCGCAGACGATCGTACAAAATCGTGAACTACTCGATTTACATATTCGATTTGTGAAATATATATATATATATATAATATTGTTTTATTCTTTTACATATACAGGAGGAGAATTAAGAAAAATATCCTATTTTTGCATTAATTAAAGATTGATATAAGATAAATGAAAAAATTAACAAATTATAACGTTATGAAGGTTTTCTGTGAAATGTATGTTATGCATAATTTTTTTATACAATTTTTATATATGTAATATTCAATAATAATTTTATGTGCAAAATATTTATTTTATTCTCTTCTATACGACAAATATTATATTTAAGACTAGCATTTTATCGTACAAAATTTACATGGTTAAAGTTCTAAGCATATTCAAATATGCTACAGAAGTTTTAATTACCTAAATTAATTAAAGAATCGTAGTTTGTATTTAAATAACTTGTAATATAATATTATAAACATTCTCTTTTATGATACTTACATCACCGAAAGTTGAGATTGACATATGAAATATCTTTCCTGCGGTGATTTTAATAACTGAGCTCGATCGTAAAATTATTAAAATCAGACCAAGTACATGTTTATGTGGCAACTGGTACCAATTTGTCATATAAGCTGCTTCACCGACCTTTTTACTCTGTCGTAAGATTAAGTTTCTTGAATCAAGACGTCCGTTATTACATATGAAAGGAATTGACAATCTACAAGATTGACAAAAGTAAATCCGGCTATTTTACCTGTTCTGTAACGAGATCACCGATGTAACAAAAAATAAAAATATTAAACATCATCGACGTCAACACAATAAGGTACGTTATTAAAGTATTCGTACTTTCCTCGTGCCATTCCTGAAAAATAGAACACGCAAAATTGATATCGTCTGAAATAAAGAAACAAGGTTTCCTCCATCAATTTTTTTTGATATATTCACCTTTTCAAGATTTTAAGCGTACCGTAATGGTGTAATATCCTAGCATACATAAGTTGAATGTACATCCAGCTAATTCCACAAGACACACTTGACGCATTATTATTTCCATGCGCGAAAGAAATCTAAAATTGATGCTTGATGAATAATTTTATGCTTTTTAAAACTCGATAGTTTTACCTGTATATGTTTTATAGCAAAATCATCATCTTAGCAATTTATCATTTTATAATGTCTTTTAGATTAATTATTGCACTTCCGAGAAAACGTTAAAAATCCACGTCACACAGTTTCGCAAAATAATAGTTTATAAGAAATCAATGTTATTTTAAATAAATTTAATAATTAATAATTTTACATAAATTTAATTCGATCGTCATTTTCACACTCGATTATTTTCGCATAAATATATCTACGAGCTGAATGCATAAAATAATATATTATTGCCATCTTGCCTTAATGCTCGTAGATGACGCTCGACGAGATTCGCCAGTTTTCTCTGGATGACATTGCGTTCTTTTTCCTCAACGAGTTCCTCGAGTCGCGACATTATTACGCCGAGTTGGCCGCATGCGTGCATCGCGAATACCGCGGCGAGACCGCACGCACCGACCGTGGTGTTATTCACCACGAGGGACGAGAGACACTGCAACGTGAACACAACTTCGTACACTGGACTGAATCTGGTGTCCACGATCTTATTAAAAGACGGACAGGGTAAGCGGCCTATCGCGATCGTTTCGTTGCCGATCGTAACGAGTATCGGTGACGTTCCCCTTGCCACATTATAAGAGAAGATACCACCCTGCATGATGAGGGCGCAAACCCCCGCTATAACGCGTCCCATTCTCGCATTCCTCAGCATCAATTCCTGATCGCATTCTCTCTTTGCCATTTGCCAATCGGCTTCCATATGCTCGATGGATTTACGTATCTGTCTCTTTTGATACAATAACGAGCAATAATTTATACCGCCCATGAGCCAGTGACTCGTGGGCCCTACGGCTTTCAACTTTAAACGGACATCTTTCTCCTCAAAGAGGATGTACAGTATAGAAGGCACCACAGTGAGAGCTACCAAAGAATGACACGTTAATCTCAAAAGTTTTGATAAAATCTTTTCGGTTGTCGAACTCGAAGGTAACTCAGGCCAAACGCCTATCGGTTTCAAAATCCAACGATTTAGTTGAAGGCTATAATTGTTATTTCGCCTGTAAACGTCTGTCTTGGGCTTGTCGGAGGAAACCATTGTGTTTCATTGACGGCGGGCGCGTGAAATACTGATCTCTACTACTGATTGTGCTGTCTCGACAGCAAGCAGTAGTTACGGCAGCGCCTGCGCAACCACACGGTTCGTTCCTCAGAGAAAAGAAGCGCTGCTATGTGGGCTGGCTGCGCATAATCGATATGTATAGTTCCGCAACTTGTTGCATAGAAACTCAACGTAATGTGCACTATACAAACAACGAAGGTAGACAATGATTGAAGTGCTGTCATGTTATAAGTCATGTTACGTGAAAACATGATAAATTTTTCATTCGTAAAACATAGCCTTTTACGTTAGAAGAGAAATCTGTGATGTTTTGCATCGTACGTATTATTTAAATTTCTATTGCTTTTAAAAACAACTATATTTTATCTTATTTAATCTTGAGAACAGAAATAATTATAAATATTCCCAAGCAATTAGAAACGATTTAAGAGAGATGTTAATAGGAAACACATAGAAGATTTCATAGAATAGAATATTGTTTTAGCTTACAATTAATGTGTAAAAATATGTATATATAATTTGAATATATAAATTGCATATGTAATTTAATTAATTTATCAGTTTTTTTAAATAATATATTATTTTGACAAATATATATGTATTGCTCTTTTAAATATTTATTTAAATTATAATGAAGTTACGTACAGTAGATTAAATTAGAGAATATTTAAAAAAATTAAGTATAGAAAATTTATTAGATTTTTAAATAACTTTAATATTAAATTTAATAAGATAAATTTAGTAAGAATTTATTATTAAATTTATTATTACTTATTTATTGAATCTATATTTGTGTCTCATTTTTGTTTTCTTTTCATCAATATAAGATTGGATGAGTAACTGATATGTATTTTACAAAATTGCTGATTCAATCTTATTATTTATTGCAAATACAATTTGTCGATATCACAATTCGTATACAATAAAAATGTTTTAAGAAGTTAATGTACGTAACATATTCAAGTAGGCAATCGACGTCTTAATCACCTATTGGTTTAATGAACGATAATAAATTATGTGAAGGAAAGTATTAAAGAATTATTATATAATACACCAAAATTGCAATTAATTTAATATTAATAAATATTTCAATATTTTTTAAACTTAACTTTTTAAATTTACAATTTTAAATACTTACATCACCGAAGCTGCTTATAGATAAGTCAATAATATTCCCAGCAGTAAGTTTAACTGACGAGTTGGACATTGCGATCATTAGTATAACAGCGAGCGCTTTCCTTCCAGGTAAACGATGCCAATCGATCATATACGATATCTCGCTAACCCTTTTGCTCTGCTCACATGATTGATGAATCAATTTATTAAATGTATCAAATATACGCTTTCCATGTGCATTTGTTGCAATAAGAATTATGGCGCATTGTGTTTTCATATCAAAATCATATATTATATTGTACCTGCTGGGCGACAAGTTCACCTATGTAACAAAATATGAAGATATTGAAGGTGACAGATGTAAGTAAAATAATATATGTTACATGACTTGCAAATTCAGCGATTTCCCATTCCTAGAATTTTAAAATTCCTATTTTTGGAAACACGTATGTTACATATATTGATTCTAAGATCTAATATAGAATAATGTGCTCCATTGTATATACATTTTGCATGATATGCCTACCATAATAATGTAATATCCAAGAAAACATATATTCAAAGTACATCCTATAATTTCCACTAGAGATATTTCGTGCAATACTTTTTGCATTAATGATATAAAGCTGCAAAGCAATGTGGTTGGAAATACAATAGAAAATATATATGATTATATATACAAGTATACATAGTTAGAAAATAAAATGTAACAATTGAGATTACAGAAAAAAAATAATACATTATTTTTCAATTACTGTATATGCAATTTATTTCCTGAAATTTTCTTATTTGTACAAAAATTTCATTACAATTGTAATTAATAGTATTACAGTGAAAAAAAGCCGTAAGATGAATATAATGAAAATATAATGATATATTGAATTAAATATAATAAAAAAATTAACATCACATTTTAGAAATGTTGTCATAACGGGAAATTCAATATAAAAATCAAATGAAAAATTCGGATATACATATTTGTAGCAGAGGGATAATTGTTATTTCCTGAACAGAGAGAACTCACCGCATAATTCGCACGTGTTCCTGCACAATTACGGCCAGTCTTTCATCTACATTCTTACACAAATCCTCTCGCCCATCCACTAGATGCACGATCCATTCCATGAGAATTTCTAGACGGCCGTAAGCGTGCATCGCCAAAACGGCAGTCAAACTGCAGGCACCGGCCGTGACGGCCTGCGTAGTAAGACCCGATATGCACTGAATCAAGAGAAAGATTTCATTAATGGGGCTATAACGCGTGTCGGCGATCACCCTGGCGACTGGATATCCTAACAGATGATACGACAGGTTGTCCATATCCGTAATTTTGCCCATGCCGATCGGCATGGCGATGTGATAAAACACAGCACCACCATATGACATGAACGAGCAGATCATTACAAGGCGACTACCAAACTCCGCATTCCTGATCATGATCGCGCGATCACCGTGATGCCACGTGTTCATCCAGTCGCTTTTGATATGCTCGATACAAATACGGATATCGCGACCGCGTATTATCAACGAGATATACTTCATGAGAACCATCGTGCAGAAACTCAGCGGTCCGGTGAATCTCAAAGCGTTGTATGTACCCTCAACTTCGAGTACAACGTAAAAGATGCATGGTATGAAAATAAAAGTGACCAAACCAATGTAGATCACATTTATCAGCAAGCGCACGTATTTTTTTATGAGAGAAGAAGATTCGAGTGCTTTCGGCCAAACACCGATCGACTTCAGTATCCAACGAGTCTTCTGAACACTTAGCCGCACGTACTTCTCGTGATCGCACACGATCGCGACTGGGTTTGACTTCTGAACGGTCGGTGATCCGCGCATCATTAAAGCACGGAAGCTCAGACGACACTGATGATCATTGGACGTCGAGGACGGATAGTCATGTCAAGCGCTTGCGCGTTTAGCACGTTTCCAAGAAAAAAGCAACCAGATCATCAGTCATGGTAGGAAGTTGAAGGGTGCATTTTATAACCGTATTGACTACTGCGGCAAGAGGGATATTCACTTCTTCCTCTTCCTTGCGTGATATGTTGGTCACTGTTCCATGATAATTCATGCATGAAACTTACGTTTTCTTTCCGCGGATGTTTTCTACGAAATCAATCCGTAAGAAATGTTGATATTATTCTTCGTGTCAATAATTATTTTTATAATATATTAAAACACATTACACATAGTATGTATATATATATATATATATATATATATATATATATATATATATATATATGTATATACAAAATTGTATATTTTTGAAGTTATTTGTATTAGGAATAAAATAAATTTTCAAGAAATGAAATATTAACTTCTTACAACAACAACAACAACAACAATAATGATAATAATATAATATTTAATAATATATGATATATGTGTATACTATTTTATATTTGTACAAGATGAAATTGCCTTTTACAAGAAGTTTATTTTAAATATTTTATTATATTATTTAAAGACAAAAATGAGAGATATATATATTTGTATTATTTATTCGATGATTGAAATTAATCTGTACATAATTTTTTCTGATCGTTTTACTCCTTGACGATTCTCCCATCTTTGTGTCTACATACACTACACACATTTTGTTAAAAGATGGTAAATCATCTGTCTCGATTGTGTCGTTATCAATTATTATGATTATTCGACATCGCGATATTATAATAAATAACATCACCAATCTATATTTGCGTCTCATTCTTTTTTCCTTCCTTATTTTGAAAATTGAATGACACAAAATTGCATTCTACAAAGTTGCCAATTTAAACTTATCATTTATTGCAGCAAATACAATTTGTCAATACTATTTGTATATAACAAAAACTTTCTAAGAAGTTAGCGTACGTAATATATTCAAGTAGGCAACTGATGTTTTAATCACCTATTGATATAATGAATGATTATATAAGTTATGTTTGAACATATTAAAAAATTATCATAATGTATAAAAATTGCAACTAATTTATGAATACTTGCATCACCGAAACTGCTTAAAGATAAATCAATAATATTCCCAGCAGTAAATTTGATTGGTGAATTAGATGTCGCAATCATTAGTATAATAGCGAGAGCTTCCCTTTTAGGTAGACGATGCCATTCGATCATATACGCTACCTCGCTGACCCTCCTGCTCTGTTACATGATTGATTTATCAATTTATTGAATATTTATTGAATATTCTGATATATATTTTCTGTTTATAATAATAAAAATTATGTCGTAAAATCCTGTGTTTTTAGATAATGAGAGATATTATATTGTACCTGCATGGCGACGAGTTCACCTATGTAACAAAATATGAAAATATTGAAGGTAAAAGATATAAGTAAAACAGAATATGTTATATAACTTGCACTTTCGCCAATTTCCCATTCCTGCAATTTTAAAATTCTTGTTTTCGGAAACATATGTTGCACATCGATTCCAAAATCAAAATAATGTGCTCTGTGTACATTTTGTACGATATGCCTACCATGATAATGTAATATCCAAGAAAGCACATATTCATAGTACATCCTACAATTTCCACGAGAAATATTTCATGCAATATTTTTTCCGTTAGTGATATAAAACTGTAAAGCAATGTACACGTGGTTGGAAATATAACAATGTAATAAATTTAATCATTAAATTACAGAAGGGAAAACATACATAAGTTTTATAATTACTTTATAATTACTTTTATAATTACTTTTGCAATTTACTTTTTAAATAAACTTTTCTTGTTTGTATAAATCTTATTACTCTCATAATTATATAGTAAAGAAAAAACCGTAAGCTAATAAAAAATTTAGCATTATATATTTTTAAATTGTCATTACATTTACATGTTATGAAAAGATAAGATTAAAAATTGAATGAGAATTTTGAATATATACATTTGCAAATAGATAATTATTTAAGTTATTTTTTTGAACTTACCGCAAAATTCGCACATGTTCCTGCACAATTATGGCCAGTCTTTTGTCTACGTTATTGCACAAATCCTCACGTCCGTCTACTAGATGCATGATCCATTGTACGAGAATCTCTAGACGACCATAAGCGTGCATCGCCAAAACGGCAGTCAAACTGCAGGCACCGGCCGTGACGGCCTGCGTAGTAAGACCCGATATGCACTGAATCAAGAGAAAGATTTCATTAATGGGGCTATAACGCGTGTCGGCGATCACCCTGGCGACTGGATATCCTAATAGATGATACGACAGGTTGTCCATATCCGTAATTTTGCCCATGCCGATCGGCATGGCGATGTGATAAAACACAGCACCACCATATGACATGAACGAGCAGATCATTACAAGGCGACTACCAAACTCCGCGTTCCTGATCATGATCGCGCGATCACCGTGATGCTGCGTGTTCATCCAGTCGTTCCTAATATGCTCGATACAAACGCGAATATCATTTCCGCGTGCTATCAGCAAGATATACTTCATGAAAACCATTATGCAGAAACTCAACGGCCCGGTAAACTTTAAAGTGTTGTACGTGTCCTCAACTTCGAGCACAACGTAGAAAACGCATGGTACGAAAAGAAAGGTGACTAAACCGATGCAGATCACATTTATCAGCACACGCACGTATCTTTTCATGAGAGAAGAAGATTCGAGTGCTTTCGGCCAGACACCGATCGACTTCAGTATCCAACGAGTCTTCTGAACACTTAGCCGCACGTACTTCTCGTGATCGCACACGATCGCGACTGGATTTGACTTCTGAACGGTCGGTGATCCGCGCATCATTAAAGCACGGAAGCTCAGACGACACTGATGATCATTGGATGTCGAGGACGGATATTCATGTCAAGCGCTTGCGCGTTTAGCGAGTTTTCAAGGAAAAGACTGATCAATCCATCAGTCACAACAGGAAGTCGAAGGGTGCATTTTATAAATCATACTGACTGCTGTACAATGGCAAGAGGGGATTCACTTCTTCCTCTTTTTTTACGTGATTTGTTGGCCATTGATTCTCGAACGAACATCTGTAAAGCTTATACGTTTTCTTTCTGCAAATATTTTCTACGAGAACAATCGATAGGAATCGCTGTTATCTTACTTTTTATCAATAATTCTTTTCGTAATATATTAAAATATATTGCACATTGTGTGTGTATAAAATATTGTGTGTTTTGGAGTATATGAAGATTAAAGTGAGTTTTTAAGAAATTATATATTAATTATTAGAAATAGAATATATGAAGATAGATAAATATATACATATATGTATAATATAACAGTATGTGATATACTATTTATATTTATATGTTAAATGAAATAAATTCTTGTATTTATTTCTTTTTCTATTTGCAGATACATATTTTTGCCATTCCTGCATTAATATATTAAATAATTTTATAATAATTTTTTTATTCGATTTAATAAAATGCGATCATACTCAGAATTTTATTAAAAAATTCAGCAAAAAATTACTGCATATATTTTTTTATTCATTAAATCTACATTTTTTATTCTTCTTACTTTTAATTTGTTGCGACACTGACTGACTAATTAAAATACTATACTAGACATTAATTAAAAATTAATTATCATTTTATGAAATGAATTGCTATTTGTATTTTTTTCTATATATATTACAATGAACACACGCTGTAATTTGTACATTTCGAATTTTTAAGTTAGTGTACGTAACATATTTAAGTAGGCGACCGATGTATTAATCACCTATTTGAATAAATAATACATAAGTTATATGATTAATAAATTTAATAAATATTTTACTTACATTACCAAAAGTACTAAGAGATAGCTCAATAATATTCGCAACAGTAAGCTTGATGGATGAATTGGACATAGCGCTGATCAATATGATGGCGAGTCCTTTATTTCCTGATAAGCGATGCCAATCGATCATGTATGATACGTCGCCAATTTTTTTACACTGTTTACAAGATTATTTTTTTATTATTAAATATGTTTAGTTTTAGAAAATATATTATATTATTTAATAGAAAAAGTTAATTTGTAAATTGGAGATATATTTCATAATATTTATTAACTATTATGAAAACCTTAATATATTCTATTGCAAGATTATATTCATACATTATATTCATACATTATACATTAGACATTATATAATTTAACATCAAAACACAGAGGCGTTTCGATAATAAGAATAATACCTGTTCGGTAACAAGCTCGCCAATATAACAAAATATAAAAATATTGAATGCAAGAGACAAAAGTAGAATTATATATATTACTACACTATTTTTATCTTCCCATTCCTGTAACGAAAAGATTTTCATATTCAACAATACACATATATTGTATATTGTTGAATATTTTAATTGTAACTGTATTTGATCTCTCTGATTTTATTTGAAAAAGAGAGTGATATATTTCGCGACACATATTTGTACATACGATATGCATACCGTAATAGTATAATATCCAAGAAAACACATGTTTAACGTACATCCAAAAATATCTATGAAAGCCATTTCCCGCAAAATTTTGTCCGTTAGCGATATGAAACTGAAATACAACGGACAATACATATTGCAGAAAACAAGAAACGCAATCTCTTTAGGAGTGTTCTAAACATTTAATAATCAATCAAAATATCGAGTACTCTAAGAGAGAGAAAATGTAACAACAATTATTAGCGATTTTCATTATATAGTAACTCACCGTAGGATTCGAACGTGTTGCTGCACGATCATCGCCAATCTTTTGTTCATGCTGCTGCATAAATCTTCTCGTCCGTCTATCAAGTGTTTAATCCATTGAGCGAGAACCCTGAGGCGACCGTGAGCGTGCATCGCGAACGTAGCGGCCAAACTGCAAGCACCAGCTGTGATGCAATGCGCGACGACACCTGACAGGCACTGCACTGAAAAGAAAATGTCATTGGCGGGGCTATATCGCACATCGACGATCACCCTGGCGACCGGATACACCAGTGGCCAATATGTCAGATTTCCGTCATCCTCTATGATTTTGCCATCCATGAGCGGTAAGGCAAAGTAGTAAAACGCGGCACCACCGTACATAAAAATTCCACTGATCACTATGAGACGCCGGCCGAACTTCGCGCTCTCGATCATGATAATCTGATCGTCATAATGCCGAGTACTTATCCAGTCGTCCTCGATTTCTTGAATACCTCTACGAATGTCATTCTCGCGACACATCATCGCGGAATATTTCACAATGGCCATTACGCAGAAGAGCAAGTGCCCGAAGAGCTTCACTCTGTGATACACGTCATCGACCTCAAACACCATAAAGACGGCCGCTGGGACAAAGAGGAAAACGATTAAACCGGAGCAAATTGTGTTTAGCAGTAAATATATCAATTTCTCTATCCGCGAAAGATCGTCTGATTTCGGCCAGGCGCCAATCGGCTTCAGCATCCAGCGATTTAGCTGCATGCTCAATTGCATGTCTTTCTCGTCGTGGATAGTCGCGGCCGCGACAGAGCTCGATTTCTGCATGGGAATACTATACATCGTTGAGCCACGAGGACTTAGCAGCTACTAAAAGGATTATGTGAACACTCGGATGCGGAAAAGTTAAGTGCGGCTGCGCCGTTGGCCGTCCCTTCCAGAAAAAGAAAAAGTATCACGACAATGAAGGGTGCATTTTATAGCCATATTGACTTGTATGAAAAGGATGGGGGACATTCAACTCTTAGTCTTAAAACGTATATCTCTCTTGTTCATTAGTTATAAGTGTAAAGCGTGCATTTGCTGCACAATTGTCTTGCGAGCAGTTGAGAACAGAGAGTTGAGAGCAGAGAAGGATCTTCGCGAATCATCTTTTTATAGGTATTACACAGAATATGCATTATGTGCTATTTCTTTTCGGCATTATTTTTCAATTTTTCAATTAAATTTATTTTTCAATTAGATATAAGATAAATTTTATCAATTTCGCAATTATGTATATGTCTACTCTATTATTATGAGCAACTTTTGTGTGATATGAAGACAATTACTCTTCTGTAACAATGCATATTTTTAATATTTAATCACAGAATAGACTCCAAAGATATTACAAAATAAAATACTTTTATATAAATTATTCGTGATAACAATTACATATAACATATATAAAACTGTCAAAACGCGCAATCTTTACGATGACAGCTGCTCATGAAATAAGCGCAGTGAGAAAATTAATTAACATTGTAAAAAATGACAACATCGATACATTTAAATATCTTAATTTAATAAAATTTAAAACTTTTTAAAACGAATATATAGAATACAATAATTTATCTATTTTTTTTTTTCTAAAACTTACGACGATTGTTATGTAAAATAGAGAATAAATTATGTAAATTTGTAGATACAACATAGTCAAAAAATTATACATTTTGTTTTTTATCTTTCTATTTACGCATGAAAATTGTTGTAAACTGTATATTTGTATCTATATTTATTTTTTGTAATATTTTATGTATGCACATATATATGTTTATATATAATATTCTATGCTTGTATATTTAAATATCAATTAGATTTATATTTGCGATTATTTACGAAATCATTTTATATATATGAAAAATGTTATATATTTTATAATATCTATATAGACAATATTATAAATATTTTATTATACATTTTTTACACAGTTAAAGTGCGAAGCATATTTAAGTATGCGACAGATGTTTTAATTACCTAAAACATTCAATACAAATGATTAATTTACATAAAGTATTATGCATATCGTATATTTAAATTTACATAGTACATAGTACTTTTTATGTACATTCAACAATAGAATGTATATGTAAAAAATTAATTTTATTTCTAGAATTTATATATTCATAATTTTCGTAATACTCACAACACCGAAAGTTGGGATAGACATATGAAATATTTTTCCAGCTGTGATTTTGATAACAGTTCTTGATCGCAAAATTATTAAAATAAGACCAAGAACAGTTTTATGTGGTAATTGATACCAATCTGTCATATAAGCTGCTTCACCGACTTTTTTACACTATTGCGAAATTGCCATTATTGATTTAAATTAATATTTTGTTTAATTGCAGGCAAGCTAATGAAAAAAACTTTTTAGATAAAAGATGATTACTTTACCTGATCTGTCACAAGTTCACCAATGAAGCAAAATATGAAGATATTGAACATCATCGATGTTAGTATCATGACATATGTTATTATAGTGTTCAAACTCTCTTCCTGCCATTCCTGAAAGGAACATAAAGTGATAACATTTCAAATTACATTAGGAAATAATGATAGGTGATTTGTCACCTATTTATATTCATCTTTCTCAAATTTTTAGCATACCGTAATGGTGTAATATCCTAGCATGCATAAATTAAATGTACATCCGACTAATTCCACAAAACATATCTGACGCATAATTGCCTCCATACGCGAAAGAAACCTGTAATCGATACATCCAGCAATAGCCGCAACGTTAAAGACTACTCACTATTTTTATTCCGAATATCTCGCAGCCGCGATAGTTGCAATTCTGCAAATATGTTATACTTAGAGGAAACGCTATAAAATATTCCTTTTAACAAGTTATATTTCTCTGAACTTTTTGTATAACAAGAAAACATTGCTTTTTACGAGAAATTTATTTTAATATTAAATATTATATTATCTAAAAATCAACAAAAATGGAACTTATATTTGTATTGTTCTTTTCAAGACACATAGGTAGATAATTGAAATTTATCTGTACGTACGTAATTTTTTTTATAATTTGTTTTACCTCAATGCTCGTAGATGATGCTCCACGATGTTCGCCAGTCTCAACTGTAGGACTTCGTGTTTCTCCGTGACGAGTTCCTGGATACGTAACATCACTACGTTAAGTTGGCCGGAAGCGTGCATCGCGAAAACGGCGGCAAGACCGCACGCACCGATCGTGATGTTATTCACTATGATAGTCGAGAGACATTGTAATGCGAGCACGACTTCGTATACCGGACTAAGCCTGGTGTCTACGATTTTGTTGAAAGATGGACATGGTAAACGACCGGTCTCGATCGTCTCGTTGCCGATTACCACGCTTATCCGCGACATCCCTCTAGCGATATTATAACAGATAACACCACCCTGCATGATGAGGGCGCAAACGCCCGCTATAACGCGTCCCACTCTCGCATTTCTCAGCATCACTTCCCGATCGTGTTCTCTTTTCGCCATTCGCCAATCGGTCTCCATATGCTCGATAGATTTACGTATCTGCTCGTTATTATGCAAGAGCGAGCAGTAATTGATACCGCCCATGATGAGATGACTCGTCGGTCCTACAGCCTTGAGTCTCAAACGGAAGTCTTTTTCCTCGAAGATTATGTATAGTATAGAGGGTAGCCAAGTGAAAGCTATTAAAAAATGACACGTTAATCGCAGGATGTTCATCAGGACATTTTTGGTTATCGAGTTTGTCTGTAATTCCGGCCAGGCGCCTATCGGTCTCAGGAACCAACGATTTAACTGCAGACTGTAATCGTTGTCTCGTCTATAAATTTCTACGCTGATGTCGCTAGAAACACGCTTCATACTTGATTCGCGAAAAGCGCACAAGGTACTGATTGCTACTACGACCGCAGTTGTGTTTCTAAACGAAACAGTAGTAACAGCGCCTGCGCAGCCACGCGAGGAGAAAGAACAAATTATTGCATCCCTCGGCTGAGACAGAACGTAATCAATATCTATAGCTAGTCTAACTTGTTGCATGAAATCGTGTGATACACAAGCTGAGGATATTTAAATAAAATTCGTGGGACGGTTTGATTGACAAGTGCCAAATTGCAGTTATTGTTTTTTTAATTTAACAAGCTCTAATGATTCTATTCTTAATTGTATTGTATGAAAATGCAATATTTTTTTGTTCTTGATATAACGCTCCATATATGAGAAGTTATGCCTTGTCTTTTACACGTATTAAAATGTAATGTTATTATTAATAATATAAAACGTGAAATAGGATATATTGCATAATGACATTATTGAGGAATGAAGATGTGATCATTAATACGACAAAAATCAGTTACATCACTACATTGATTATTTATAAGTTAGTTAAATAAATTCACATTTAATTTGTTAGCGAATAATTATGTTTAGTCTTATGTCGCTACTGTTCTGAGTATATTTAAGTACGCAAACGCTGTTTTCATCACCTGAAATGATCATAGTTGATAGATTTATTTTTAATAATTATGTATATTACTGTAATAACATGTCGAAGCCTTTCTCTTCTTTCTAAGCATGTATTAAAAATAAAAAATATTAAGTATATAATATAAATACTTATAAATATAAATATAAATATATTACAATATAATAATCATTAAATGGATTAAAAATAACAGCAAGATTTCAAGAAATTTATAAAAATTTGCAGAGATAAATTTGTATTAAGATTTGTTGTTCATAAAAAAGTGTTAATATTAAAATTATTGAATAAACTTACATCTCCAAAAGTCGCAATAGATAGTTGAATCATTTTGCCAGCAGTTATTTTTATAACGGCATTTGACCTCGAGATTATTAGAATCAAGTCGAGCGCAATTTTATGATGTAATCGATACCATTCTGTCATGTAAGCCATTTCGCCTATTTTTTGACACTATACAAACTCTGAATTGTTCTACGTTTTTATGTTACAATTTTATTTTAGAATATTAAGAATATTAAGAATATTAAGAATATTTTAGAATATTTAGAATATTAAGTAAAAAGGAAAACTTATATATGTACGATACAGCTACCTGGTCCATGAGAATTTCAGCAATATAACAATATATAAAAACGTTGCATGATTTTGCTACGAATATGGTGAAGTAGGTGAGTAAATTCTTTGTGTCGTGCAATTTCCATTCCTATAAATAGCAATATATACAAATGCAATATAAAATTGAGAATATTATCTGCACAGAATAATTTTAATTATTGATTTGTTAAAAAATATATCGTAGATTACAATTTAATATAGAATGCACCAAATTTTTATTTTGCAATTGTTACAACTTTTTGGTATAAAACTTTAGCATACCGTGATCGTGTAATATCCAAGCATACATATATTGATAGTACATCCCATCAATTCGACGAGACATATCTGATTCATAAATGTTTCTATCTGTGATACAAAACTGAAATTAAAAATCCAATAATAATATTTTTCGTAATGTGAATTTTTTTACAATCGAAAAATTAGAGTATAAAAGATTTTCTCGAAACGGTTAAATAGAAAATCAATTAAACGATAAAGATATAAAACCTATAATTTCAAACAAAAGTCGCTGAATCAGAATCAGCTATGTAAATATATTTAGTTTTATTTTATTCATTTTAAATTTTAATGGAAATATAGAATCAAAATTTTTAAAAATTTTGAAAAAATTTACTTTTATACTTTTCAAAATTTGCGGCGTGGAGACGTTACCTCAATACACGCAGATGATGTTCCACAATAGCAGCCAACTTTTGTCGCGTGGCCTTGTGTTCACTTTCCTTTCCATCGACAAGCTCGTCTAATCTCATCATCAGAATGTTCAGCTGACCACAGGCGTGCGTGGCGAAGACTGCGGCGAGACTGCACGCGCCCACGGTAACTGTATTCACTATGACAGTCGACAGCAATTGAAAGACAATCACGATCTCATTCGCTGGACTGTATCTGGTGTCCACCAGCCCCGTGTAAAACGGACACGGTAGCTGATGCGTCGTTATCGTGACGTTCCCGATTCGGACAATCGATGATGTCAAGGTGGTGATGATGCTGTAGGAGCAGACGCCGCCTTGCATGAAAACCGCGCAGAAGGTACATACGAATCGGCCAAACTTGGCATTTTGCAGCATCACCTCGCGATCGTGCGTATTGCCCACGTATCGCCAATCGGCACGCATGTGATCTACGCATTTGCGTATTTCGTAGCTGCGCGACAGCAACGAGCAATAGTTCGCGCCGCCCATTATCCAATGGATCATCGGACCGAAAGCTTTCAGCTTTAGATACACGTTCGGCTCGAATATGATGTACAATGCGCACGGTACCACCGTGAAGGCGATTAAAGAATGACAGACAAATTGGATGCCGCGCGACAGTATTTTGCCCGCGAGCCCGGTGCTGGTGCCGGGCCAAGCACTAATCGGCTTCAGGAACCAGCGATTCAGTTGAATACTGTACTCGCTGTCCAATTGGTACGCGAGATTGTGCGTGCTGGACACGCGGAAGGAATGAGACATGATCGCGACTCGAACGTCCGCGAACTATTGAGCGATAACGTTGCAACGGAAGAAACAGCAGGTAGTTCTCAGCGCTTGCGCGTTTTTCTAACTCTTTTTTTCGAAGGAGTTATAGTTAAGCAAAAAGCGTTTTAGATTTTCCGGACAATGAAGGGGTAGTGGCGATCGATACGGGTGCGAGTTGCATGTGTTGATTAATCTGTATTCATTGTATACCCTACGCTGTTACTTAGTTGCACATTGGAAAGACAGAAATTCGCGTAGAACTGTGATAACTGTGATAAACTGTAATATTGACATTTTATTTTTTTAATCTTTATATTTTAATCTTTATAATCTTTATATTTTTAATTTTTTCATTCTTATATTCTATACAATCATTTCTTGATGATTAAGAAATTTTTATTTATACATGTCTGCATATGTGTGTATGTATACTTGTAGAAATAAAAAATTCTTACTTTTATTTATTTTTGAAAATGAATATGCATTCAATTACACTTGACTTGATTTTACATAACGGCACTAAAAAAAAATACTGTAGAGGAAAATATAAATATAAACATATAAAAGGAATATTGAACTGTTCTTTTTGGCAAATATTTTAAACACGTAAGTTTTTTATTTATTAAAATTATGTTTATTTTTTCTTTTCTTCTCAATATATACCAGATAACTAATTGACACTTATTTCAGCAATCAACAAATTAATAATTTTTGCAAGTTTTATGCAGTTAAAGTACGCAACATATTCAAGTAGGCGACCGATGTCTTAACCACCTATTGGTTGAATGAACGACGAATAAATCATGTTACTTGTAAATGTATATGGTAGATATTGACATTGCGCTACTCACATCACCGAAAGTACTGAGAGATAACTCGAAGAGATTTCCGGCAGTAAGTTTGATCGACGCATTGGACATAGCGATCATCAACACGAGGGCGAGGCCCTTTTTTCCTGATAGACGATGCCAATCGATCATATACGATATCTCGCCGACTTTCTTGCACTGTTTACAGGATTGCTTTTCTCATTTCTTTTATACGAAACATGTCTATGCTTACGCCGCTAAGAGTTATATTCTAAAATAAATTCTGAATTACAGAATTACGGTAAGCTTTTGTAAAAATATTCTATGAAAATATATTACTAAAGCTTTAAGTAAATAAACCTATTAGATGAGCAAGAAACTGTTGCGATTAGAAAAATTTTACCTTTTCGGCAACAAGCTCGCCGATGTAACAAAATATAAAAATATTAAATGTAAGAGATATAAGCAAAACGATATACGTTATATAACTTGCAGAGTTTTTAATCTCCCATTCCTGCAACGAAAAGATTCTTATATTCAAGAACACGTTGTAAGCCGCACACGTTGATCGCGATATAGCGATACGCTTTGCGCGGTACGCACTTTTTGTACGAAATGCATACCGTAATAGTATAATATCCAAGAAAACACATGTTTAAGGTACATCCTATAATTTCCACAACAGATATCTCACGCAGAACCTTGTCCGTTAACGATATAAAACTGGAAGATAACGAGTACGTTATCAGAAATAATTTATAGGGATAGTACGAATTCATAGAATGTTCCAAAAAATTAATTGAAATTAATTGAAGCATTATATATAATTAAAAATTAATTATATATTTTTAGCATAACTCATTAACATTCTTGCATTTTACATGTGTGTGTGTGTGTGTGTATAAAATGCAAGAATGTTAATGATTTTTGCTAAAAAATTGAATTGGCTTACCATAAAATTCGAACGTGCTGCTGTACGATCATCGTCAATCTCTCATCCACGTCATCATACGAATCTTCCCGTCCGTCCACGAGGTGTTCGATCCACTGTGCCAACACCTCCAGGCGACCGTAGGCATGCATCGCAAAAACAGCGGCCAAGCTGCATGCGCCGGCAGTGATGGAGTGTGCGATGAAACCCGACAGGCACTGCGTCCAGAAGAGGATTTCACTGATGGGACTGTGTCGCGCGTCGACGATCACTCTGGCGACCGGATACACCAATGGCCGATACGTTAAATTCCCGTCATCCTCCGTGATCCTGCCGTTACTGAACGGTAGAGCGAGGTAATAGAACACGGCACCGCCGTACATGAAGAACGCGCAGATCGCCACAAGACGCCGGCCGAACTTCGCGTTCTTGATCATGATGACCCGATCGCCGTGATGCGGAGTGTTCATCCAGTCGCTCTCGATGTGCTCGATGCCACTGCGAATGTCATTCTCCCGAAAGATTAGCGAGGAATATTTGACGATGGCCATCAGGCAAAAGCTCAGCGGCCCGGACAGCTTCAGGATAAGATATGTGTTATCTAATTCGAGCGCCATGAAAACGGCGGTCGGTATGAAGAGAAAGCCGATCAGACTTGTGCAAATCACGTTTACCAGCGTGTACGTGTATCTCTCTACCCATGAGATTTCCGTTGACTTCGGCCAGACACCAATCGGCTTCAGTATCCAACGATTCAGCTGGACACTCAATTCTATGTCCTTCTCATAGTCGTGAACCGTCGCGACAGAGTTCGCTTTCTTCACGACAATTCCGTGCATCGTTGAAGCGACGAGAGCTCGATGGTTACTGAGAGGAGGAATTGTGTTGAAAGCGAGAAAAGTCAAACGTCGCGGCTGCGCCGTTTCGCGCGACTTCCCTTCTGGGAAAGGGGCTCAAGTGATCGGCAGAATACAAAGGGTAAAACTTTATAGACGTAATTCCCAACTTCCGCGAGGGGATTCAAGGTTTCCTCATGGGATACTAAATGCTGTCCGTTTATGAATTATGAACGGACAACGACTTACATTCTTAGCGGGGGTACCTTCCGCGAATGATCAGGATAGATCACAAGTGTTTCCTTTTTATGTAAGATATTATACGTGCGTGTGTATGATTTTGTATACGTATACATATATATTAAATAATGTTACTATACGAAACATATAAGAAAGATAAAATTATTATATTTTTAATCATCATATCATCATATTTGTAATATATTATTTAATATATTCTTAATCATAGTAATGATTTATCGAATCTTACATATTTTCTAAATTAAAAAAATTATTTGTCATATTTTAATAAGATAAAATTGCGATTTAACATTATTTGAATAAAATTTTTAAAAACACATTGGAAAGTATTTTTGCTTGTTGATGCTGCTATATTGAAACATTCGTTTATTATAAAGTATAATATAAAGTATAAGGTATGAAATATAAAGTATAAAGTAACAAAATTGCACGGATATTATCCAAGTATTATCTGAAAATAAATTTAATTTCAAAAATATGAAGTAATAAAATGGATTTTACGATATTTTCTAGATATTATCTGAGAAAACAAATTTAATCTCAAAATAATACCAGATAATAAATCATACAGTGCAATATTACATATTTCAATTGTTTTATTCAGAGCACAATCATCAAAACTTGATGATTAAAACATGCCTAAATGTTTCTCGCTATGTTACTGCTGCCACGGTCGTGAAAGATTCATCAATATCATTTGATAAGTACTACTATAATTCAAATTGTATTTCTTCAAGTTGTAAATGTTCGTAGCATGTTTAAATAAGCGACAGATGATTTGATAACCTATTTTTTTCAAATATCTGCATTATTATAATATTTACAATCAATTCCAGTATATTTTGCAAAATGCCAAATAACCAGAATTTATATTTTCTTATATTATATTTGATTTCTTTTAAAATAAATTTTAAAAAATTACATTCTTATAATTCAGAGAATATTTATATAAAATTCTGACATTTTTTTTATATGAAAATATGGTACTTACATCGCCGAAGCTGCTGATGGACAGTTCAATTATATTTCCTGCAGTAAGTCTGGTAGTTGCATTGGACATACAAATTATCAAGATGATGGCGAGGCTCTTTTTTTCCGGAAGTCGGTACCAATCAATCATATACGAGCTCTCGCGTATTTTTATAGTCTGTCATAAGATTTCTATTATAGATGATTATCACAAGAATTGTTTGTCTCGTGCTATATTGTCGTTTGGAAAAGCTATATAATAATATTATAGAATGTATAACGAGTATATACCTGTTCTGTTAAAAGTTCACCTATGTAACAAAATATAAATATGTTGAACGTAAGCGAAATAAGAAGTATCAGATACGTTAAACCGCTTACAGGTTGTTTAAAATTCCATTCCTATAATATAATATAATATAATATTTGTGATGGATAAATAAACAATAATAAAAAAAAATATATTCAATTACACAATTAACAATTCAATTTAACAATAGTATAAAAAAATAATTCTCTACACTGAGAAAAAAATGCTGTTGAATCAATAGCATAGTCTAATTGGAAATA